GCGGTCAACATTTAAATGAAATTATCTTCAAAAAGTAAATGTCATGAACCAATCTAACGTTTCAAATAAAGAACCGATGAGATTTTGCAAATTTTATGCGTTTTTTTTTTTAAAAAAGTTATCAAGCTCTTAAAAAATCACCCGATATAATGCTCTGTAGTAACTGGTAGCAAGAGTATAAATATCAAAATCTTATCAATTTAAAAAGAAAAGCTCAAGGTTTATGCTTCCAGACTAGAATACCGCTTTATAAGTGACATAAAAGATTATGGTGAGATACGTGAGTCAGAAAATCAACCCCTCAAACGGCAAGAAAAAATTAAAAAAAAAAAAAAAATGATGAGTATATTCTATCATCGAATAAAGATTGTTGAGATAAATATCTATCTATCTTTTTATACGTGAACAAATCCGATAGTTTTTGAGTTAACAATCTGAAATTTTACGCTTATACTTTTCTTCAACACAAACTGCTCACATGTTGGAACCGCCGATATCGGATAACTATAAACATAGCTTTTTGAGAAAAAATCTGCACGAAATTCGGCAAAGATACTTTTTCAAGGAAACTCTATAATCTACAAAAATATTGTTCATATGAGATCTCTATAGTATATAGCTGTTATACAAACTGACCTGTCAACGCAAAAATCTTTATTTATTATTGAGCTTAGATGTTTCTCGTTTTTACTACAGTACAAAAATATAAATTGAGATTTAATTTTTTTATCTAGCCACTGCAGAATAATTTTTTTTTACTATAAACGCTTTATTAACAGATTTTATTGCCTTTCGTGATACTTTTTCGGTAACAGCGGCAAAATCAACATTCGAAACATCAAAGAGCTGACCGCAAATCTGGGAGAAAAATTCCCAATGGGTATGTACTTTAGACACACGTGCACATACCTTCTTGCTTATAAAAAATAAAAGTACTTTAGTCAAAGTATTCATATATTTTTGCGCTTTTTTTTGGCATGAAATTTTATTAGCACCCGAAAATGCATAAGAGATATATGTACTCTTACATGCAGCCAAAGGAAAGTGCGCATATTACATATGTACGTACTATCGAGTACCGTTAACGTGAATGCAAAAACCTGTTGCTGATATATTTTTGCTAACAAAATATATGATGAATGCATTGCATCATCCCTTACTCTAAATTAGTCTCGCCGCAAAATAGCGATTTTTGATTACATTTTTTTGCATACTGGTTTATATGAACTTTGACTCTATGCTTCTCGCCTCTTTTTGTCTTTTTTCTCATATTTTGAGGTATCATTATTATTATTGGTCTCTGTAGAGTATTGCTCTCTTTCATAAATACATAAATATTTCGATATCTTTATTGACACATTCACTTTTCATTGCCATAAAACAAATTTATGTGTGCGTATTTTTTGTTCGTTGAACAACATACCCACACACATATGCCCAGCCAGAATGCTCGAAGCGTTAGCAATTCATGCATTGAAATACACTTTTTCATTCATAATTTATTGATCCTGTCATATATAATTTCCTTTGTACGTAAATTTTCGGCTTCTCATATTTCATATGAAGTTTGACATTCGGTGAACAATGGCGAAAAATGAATACCATCGCCACAAATTAAGTTAACACTGTGCTTATCAGGAAAGTAACAAATACAATAAAGGCGTTAAACAAATTTATGGGCTTGTCCTCATCCAACTACACTACATATGTATGCTTCCATGAGCCGAAAGTTCAAAATATTCAAATATATTTATAAAAATACTAAAATTTTATTTCTCTAAACATTTTAAATTATGAATAAAGAGTATACTATATATTCAAAAACCAAAATTTTTTCTGCTAGAGCAAACCCAGCTATAATCATAGCATCTAATCAAATATGACCCGGACTGTCGATCTCAAAATAGGCTCCTAAGCCAATTAAGTTCTAACATTGGTGTTATACGAAATGCCAATGAAAATCGTTCGTTAAACACTTTCTACAATCACCAATCACGTGTCTCAATATTGAACTTCACTGCTAGCTTTCCATCAAGGATGAGTTCCAAGTACTGCACATTTCAGACAGAATGAAATTGTTAGTTCCCCAATTCGGGAGAGGGAGTGCATTGTGTGTTTTATACAAACTGCTAGATAAAACCAGCTCAGTTTTGAGCCGCTTCCTTCCCCCCAGCTAGCTACCACATTGTGGTACCCGTGGCTTAACTCATAAACGGTATAAAAGTTATGCTTAAGGCTCGATTCCACTTTAAACCTCTTAGGTGAAACTAACAGCTTCCGGCTGCACATTGTTGAATTCTCCTACAACATCGAAAAATGTCAACACATTATATTCCTTATGATACAATAGGGCTTCTTTCAACCATGACACCGCGACATGCACAGCGATGAACGCAACTACCTTTGCTGGCCCCCAGTATCACGTCTCTCGGCATACTACGCCTGATGTACAGGCCCATAATTTTCTCCAACGACTTCAATAAAAACGAAAAAAGGCTAATAGTTCTGAAATTATTGGCAGTAAGATGAGAGCTCCTTTCAGTCTTCGACACACCACCATTACCTATTAATCTAACACAGTTCGCTTATTATTTGTATAATACCTTTACCATCCGCTGTGACCATTGCGCACTTTTAATGCAATCGGGTCCACGCGACTTAAATGGTATGAACGATTTAACGCCCATGAAAGTTAGCTCTCATTCAGAAGATCTAAGACCGCCGTTCTGAAGCTCTCCTAGATGCATATCTTCAGTAGATGTGTTCTTTGTTATATGATGACATTTCTTAATTCTCAGATACCCCATAGAAGTACGGGTTTTAACGAGAAAACGTCTAACCCTGAGAATTCGTGAGTTGCTTGTACTGTTTTAAACAGTCGTCGTTAGAACGGGATTGTTGAACAGTCAAAGCAAATTTGAAGAAATGTTTTGAGGACTCACGCATATTCACGAACACAGGTATTCGAATGATACAAACATTAAGTGAAGATCGCGAAGTCATCAAAAACACCTTGCGAGTTGTACCTCCACCTCTTGTAACGACTATAATTACGAAAAAGGTAAAAAAAACAGTACTTCGAAACCATTTTGGCATCAGAGAGATAGAAAAGGACCACCACATCGTTTGCGGATCAACTCAACATATTTTGGTTAAGGTATCGTAGCAAAAACCTAAATTTTTATCAAAAATTATGTCAATTAGAGGTCACAAAATATATGCTTCAATATTGATCATGATTAAGACACGAAACTGACCAGCAAACATGTGAGCAACACTCTAAACTTAAGTCAAAACTCTAAAAACCAAATAATGCTAAAGGCACTGAAGGACTAAGGATTATCACAGACATATGAAAACTTGGATTAAGCGTTGCTTGTATTGACTTAGGAGCCTATTTCAAAATTAATAGCAAAGATTTGTATTTAAATACGAGAAAATGTAGTATTTTTGTCAGTCCGGGTCAAATTTGATCAGATGGTAAATGCAACTTTGATTTGAAAATACAGGTATAGTAAGATTTTATCAACTAAGAAATCAAAAAACAACAAACAAATTCATTATATTCTTTATTTATTTTTTTAAAATCGTTTTATTGAGGTAACACTGCATACATTCATGCTCTTTTACAAAATAGAAAATTTTTAATTTATACAAATTTTATAAAGTTAAGTATGAGAAATATGTTTTCAGTTCCGTTTTAAATACTTAAAGACTAACAACACATATTTAAGTACTACGACTACCCAACACCATTGTAATGCTAATTTAACTATTTACACGCTAACCAAACCAACTAACTAAATAATAATGTATGCATATTATATTAAGAGTACAATTTCTGCCTTTGGCAACTTCAATTAAAATATGCATGACACACTTCTCCTTAAACCGTATATTGTATAGAGAGATATTTCTTCATAACCGCAAATTATATACACACTCTAACGGTCTCCCATTCTTACCAACACTACTCCTACCTTCATCAACCAACTACTCTAATGTAATTTTCAATTTCCGACTCCACTGCAAAAATCAGCCTTAACAAATAAGTGTTACCAACAGCCCTGCATAACGGATAATTGCTGTACTGCACCGCAACCCACACGATTCTGCATGTAGTCCGGGAAATTGCTCTGCAGCACACGCATTGTATTGCGCTTGTAGTCGGGCACAGCATGCGTCGCCAGCTGACAGGTATCACTGCGGTAGACAGGCTTAAAGTTCGTCTCCGTAAAAGCGCTGGAAGTGTCCCAGCGATAAACCTCCGCATCGCCTTCATTGCGGAAGAATATGGCCGAACCGTTATCAGTGCCGATAATGACCATGCGCGAAGGCTTCTTACCCAAATCTTTAAGTATAGAGTTTAACAAATGAGTTATCAGACCGTTAAACAAACTGTGACCTTAACCCCAACTTACCCAATATACGACCATCGGCCACACCGCTGCGCAAGTACTCCGACTGTAGTGAGAAAAGTCTGTTCGTGCTCAAGTAGGTAAAGTACAACTCCGTTGTGCCACAATCCTTGCGTATCAGCGCGATATAGAGCACATCACGTGCTCTACAACCCGATGCTACAGCTTTCGGCAGTACCACACGGAAGCCACGATCAGCTTGTAAATTATAAACGATGATGGCACGATTCGCGGCATCGCTGACATACACGAAGCAGCTGCCATCAGGCGCATAGTCCACAACAATATATTGTAAACGCGAGTTCGGCGATGTCAGACCCTCCAACGAAATGGATTTCAACACTTTGCCCGTCTTCACGGAAAGCGCTACCACTTTGGCGGTGCATTTGCGCTCCGGCGTCTCAAGCGTGTTGACAATGCCCGTGTCCAATACCCACAACACGTCATTTTGATCGACAACCAAATCGACTACGGATTGGAAACCCTTACATGTGCTATCATCCTGCATGTCCCAGCAGGGGAACGGTGCAAAGGTGGCTTGACAAACGCCCGGTTTGAGCGTGGTTTTCACAAGTGTCGCCGGCACACCATGCTTATAGCGCGGTAATGCCAAAAAGACGGCATCACCCACTATTTGCGCACGCGTCGCTATCACATTCTTCGAGATGTACTTGCCCGAGCTGCGAAAGAGCGAACGCGACGAGCCGGGAAACTCGAACTGTCCGCCGGTCCATTGTAGCGAGGTGACTGCAGGCGGCGCGACTACCGTTTCAGCGCTACTTCGCGTATCCCCGTATTTCGCCGCGAACGCCTGAGTCCACAGACATTGTGCGAAGGCTGTAAGCAGCAGGCAACGTGTCCACATGCTTTTACGTATATTTAGTAAGGGTTTTACGCAATTATTATACAAACTTGCTTAATTTTATTTATTGAACTCTTTATGTGTAATTTGTTTGCACTTCGCCGCACTCTGCGCCAGCGCCTGCTTATTTGCAACTTCAGCAATAATATTTAATTCATATGAATTTATTGCTATTTTATATGGTTTTACATTTTGCTGGCTTCGCATGGCGCACATATGAGTTCGCAATTGGCTGGCGACAGACGTGACGCGCGTCAATGCGCATTGCCGACTTCCATTACAATTTCACTGTCAAGGTCGCCCGTCGCGCGTCTGCCGGGGTTTATTGTGTATTTGGTGGCTTGTTGTTTTGCTGATTTGTTATGGTTTCTCTAGTTGACATATGTCGGTATGTATTCGAATGAGAGCGTGGCAATACGAAGGTCTTTCTTGCGGCACGAGCCACTTACTACTTCTGGTACAAGTTACTTACTTCCATTTTCACTTCCCACATGTACTTAAAGTTGCTGTAAATAATTTCTTCTTGGTTGAAAACTATTTCCGGATTTTTCTAAAATGTTCGAAGACTTGAGAAGATGTTCTTTGGGCGCTCTGGTATGTAGTTTCGGCTGATTGACTTAACAGAGACTTGAGACTTGAATCGTATTCTAACATATGTTGCCTTTGATAATCTGACCTACATATTATTCTAACAAGCTAACAATGAATTCCATAACCTAAATTTTTCAAATATCCAAATTTTCTGGGCTTCATTATATAGCCCTTCATGTAGTGTTTTCTAGAGGTTTCTAACTTCTGAAAATTCATTAGAACTTCACCTAGGTGTATGGTATTTTGCGCTCCACCCATCGAATTCGCATAATTTCGGTTAACAGAAAGCTCCCCAGAACATGCTTAGTCAAGTCAAAAGCTGAAATATCAATTCTCAAAGATTTTTAAAATTAAGCCTTAACACTCCAATCATATTACAAACTTCGTTTAAGTATTCAGAACTTTGGAAACTTTACCAAATCCACAATTTCAATTCGCTGAAGTATAGTACTTTGACCCCAAAGTAAATGGAGACCCTTAGTACTTAGACACTAGTTAGATAACGCAAAGTCAGAAAATATTACAAAAACCGCAATGATTTATTGGATGTGTTATTTAATTAACAAAATTCCAAACGATCTCTAAACTACGAGTATGAATCTCTAGAATTTGGGAAATACATATATACTTGGAGAGATTTCGAAAGTCTCCACTTCTCCTTTTCGGTTCTCTGAGGTACCGAATAGACTTTTCATAGTGCGTGTAAATGAAAGTGTCAGCATAATATCGCAAACAATTAAATTTTAATTGGTATATTGACCTCTTGCTTATACATATGAGCAAGAACCCAGAAAGGCTGGTTTAACAATTCCTTAAAATAGTTAGAAGACGCAAAGTCTGGAAAAATTACTAAAACGTCAATGATTTATTGGATGTACTATGTGCAGCTCTTGAATGTAGGTTGTACATAGACATTTGGAGAGATTTTGAAAGTCTCCACTTTACTTTTTGATTCATCAATGATTTATTCGTTCAAAATTTAGGGTACACATAACTCTTTGGAGAGATTTCGAAAGTCTCCATCTGACTTTTCTGTTCATTAATGATTTATTGGATGTTTTATCTAAAATTCTACACATAAATATTTGGAGAGATTTCGAAAGTCTCCACCTGATTCTTCAATTTTTTTCCACAATTCCTCGAAGTAAAAGTGTCAACAGGACATCAAGCTAAGAGACAAATTCCAAAAAAATCTAGATCACTCAAGTTACAATTCTGAATAGATAAACCTCTAAGTCCTGTAAATAAGCCAAAGTTATTGGTTGGTATTTGTTTCTGAAGAATCTTCAAGCTGCAGCTATGCTTGCTTAAAAATCTTAATTGTTTCCTAACAAACTTCCCTTTTAGATTCTGATATAAAATTCAATAATATTCATTATGACTTCGTGTATACATATATCCTACATTTGTTGAGTCTTGAAAATTTAATTCTATGTAAGCTTCGCCAATTAAGTATGCAATTTAAGCTCTTCTTCAATTGTACATACGGTATATTATTCATCGATACTCATTCGCCTCATTCAAACCTCAAAACAGAATTTTCTTAGAATCTATATTTAAAGCTTTGTTATGCCTTCGTGCAGTCGTTACTTGTGCGCTTTTGAAATTCACACTTTTACATCACAAAATAAAATGTTTAGGGGTCATAAGATCGAGTTAATCAAAGGTCATAGCTCCATGCGACTAGTTCATTTGCTCGTCTTAACACCTTGGCAATCAGTATACGGCAATTGTACTTAAGGCTTAGCGGTTTCTTCGAATTTATTTACGCAATTTCGTTTGAGATTTTTCTTGAAAGTATTTTCAGCACTTAACGGTAAATTCGCACATACTTACGCAATTAATTTCGCATTTTCACCTAGTCCAAAGCGATCTGATTTCAATTTCGCCACAAATAAACAACACTCTTGGAATAATAATGAAATTTGGTGGAATTAATGAAGATTATTATGGAAATTGATATTCACGGGTAATTAAAGAACGGGTCAAAAGGGGCAAGCAGTTAAGAAAATGATTATATAAGTACGAGTATATATATTTTGCCTAAATTGTTGAATAAACAACTTTGCACTGGCTCAGACGCGCCGACAGCATAACAAATTGTTATATTTACACAAAAATGCAATGACTACGCAAAATTACTTAAATTAATATATAAAAAATAAAATATCCCTTCTTGTTGTTGTTGGTCGTCTTGCATTAATTCAATTTTAATGCCACTTTTGCCTTAAATGAAATCATGCCTACTTAATGCGAGCGCAAGCAAGCTCCGCGCAACTTGAAGGGGCATACGAAGGGTAACGGTATTGTGTAGGGCGGCATAAATTTATGGTACAGCGATATAACGAATGAGCGGCGTTATTATGACCCTTCATGGGTGTATATAAAAGTTGAGATTTAAATGCCAATAAAAGCGCTTTATTATTAAAACGCCAGAAATTATGCTACATTGTTGCGTGATTTTGTTTACTGAAGCAAATAAATGGAAATGCGAAAATGCGGAATTGAATAGCCCTGCAGGAATTGAAAGTATGATAAAAATTTAGAAAATAACTTCACCACAAAATAGTGTGCTACGGCTGGCGTGTTAAGAGATCAATGTGAAGGCTAAATTTACCGACCGTTTTGTCAAAAATACCTTATTTGCTAAACCTGGCATTAATATTGTCCAACACGATTTTGTTACCGTTCCGGGTTCCAATAGGGGCGCTATAGAAAATATCTTTGGTCACATCGACCTTCCAAATCACCAATATATTGAAGAACTTCGCTTTAATGCTAATTGTGGCTACACGTTCATCCACCAGGGTAAGTACTAGGACTCTGCGACTGATCATAAGCTGTTTTTGTCATATGTGTAAGGATCGTTTCTGGCCATTTTTAAGTGAATGGGACTCAGAAAACTTTCCTCACTTGCATGATATTCTACACACAGCTGCATCCTCCTACTATTAATTTGTAATTTGTTAAGGAAGTTGAGTGTTAACTCATTGCTTCGACAAACAAATCTGTATTAAAACAAGTAAGGAAGGGCTAAGTTCGGGTGTCACCGAACATTTTATACTCTCGCATGGTAAAGTGATAATCGAGATTTCAGGCGTGGTTGTGAACCGATTTCATCCATATTTGGTACATAAGAAAATATTATATACCGAATTTCATTGAAATCGGTAGAGTACTTCCTGAGATATGGTTTTTGGTCCATAAGTGGGCGACGCCACGCCCATTTTCAATTATTACAAAAAGCCTGAATGCAGCTTCCTACTGACCTTTCTTCCGTAAATTTTAGTGTTTCTGACGTTTTTTGTTAGTCGGTTAACGCACTTTTAGTGATTTTCAACATAACCTTTGTATGGGAGGTGGGGGTGGTTATTATCCGAT